TCTTCTGGTTTCCCCCCTTGTTATATGGTATAAAGGTATATGCTTTTTTCTCACCTTGTTAATCTACCTTGTTAATGCTATCTTGTTAATGCAATTTCAATATGCATTTCATATACCTTCCTTACATTTTCTCCTTTGATTCTAAATGTAGGAAAAAAAACCCCCAAAACTGCCATTCTCTGAAGCATTTTCTCAATCTGTTAAGATTTTGTTTCTGGGCATGTCTTCAAAATTTTGCCTCAGATAAACTCTTATGAAACTTTTCTGTAGGCTAGACATCTTTCAGTCAACAACAGCCACGCCAGAAAGTCCCTGCTCCTAGTTAGCAGCTGTTTTCACCTCTGTGTGTCTATCCAAGACCCATGCCATTTTACTCCGACCTTGAGGTTTGTAGGGCTTCCTCTGGGGAAAGTCACTTGGGAAGAGTCTCTTTGGCCGGAGTGAGTCTGTGGGTTGCTCCGTTAGTCTGATCCCACCTATGTTATTGGATACTGTGTCTTCTCACTGTTCTGGTCTCCTGAGTGCCTGTCTAGGCTCTTCCACAATCCAAGGGAGTTTATTATTTTCATATTTCTTCTATCATTTCAATGGGATTTGGGGAACAAAGAGGAAGTAAGTTTATAATTTTAGTGAGCTTAAAAATAAAACTGGTTATTAGCTGGTTTTGGAGAAAGAAACAGGTGTCTGTTCCACAACTCACGTGGAGTTGGCTTCAGATACTTGTTTGACTCCTTCATATGCACTCCTACCCTCAGAATATGCCCTTGGGATGTTCCCTGTCAGGGTGCCCTCACTGCCTCCCACCTTGATGTCCTGGTCAGGCTCACACCAAAGCCTCCAAAAGCCCCTTTGGTTACATGGGGGAGGCCAGGCAGGGAGCTAGCGCTATACGGAGGTTCAGACAGGTGTGAGAGAACCCCTGAAAAAGTACTAAAGAATTGCTCTTGTTTCTCCACAGTCTATCTTTGCTGACTTCATTTTTAATATCCTCGTATCAGATAGGCTCCTTGTCCTCTATCGCCATAGAAGATTTCACCAATTTTTTTATGGGCCCTCGTGAGATACGATAGTGTGATCTAATAAGAAATACAGATTGGGTCTTCAACTCCAGGTCCCAGGCCAGAAATTCTAAAACCCTTGGAATTTCCTGAGTGGTAGGGGTGAGGAGCATCTTTTGTCATTCATATTAAGCTCCCTTCAGCTACTAGACTTTATGCTAATGAGGTGATTCTTGGGAGAGGGAGGCTTGTTGCCAGAGACCAACCCCGTGATTAGAGGGTTGGGACTTTCTCCCCATCCCTGACCTCCAGGGAGAGGAGAGGAGCTGGGGGCTGCTTTAATCATCAAGGGCAATGACTAAGTCACCCATGTCTACATACTGGACTCTCCCGCAAAACTCTACATAAAGGGGTTCTGAGAGCTTCTGGGTCAGTGAGCACATCCAGGCCCCAGGGGGGTGGTACACCCCAATTCCATGGGGACCAAAGCTCCTGACCCCTCCAGGCTCAGCGCTGTGTACCTCTTCATCTGGCTGTTCATTTGCATCCCTTATAATAAACCAGTAATAGGAGGTAAAGAATTTCTCTGGATACTGGGAGCCATTCTGGCAAGTTATTGAGCCTGAGCAGGGAGTCGTGGGAACCCCTGATTTTGTAGCCCAATGAGGCAGGTGCAAGTTGTCTGGGGGCCCAGCACTTGTGATTAGTGTCTGAAGGGGGGGTGGCTTTGGGGGGACTGAGTCCTTAATCTGCAGCATCTGTGCTAACTCTGGACAATTAGTGTCAGAATTGTTTAAGTGAGGGGAAGAAACCTCACACAAAGGTGTCAGAAGGGTTGTGAGCAGAGAATTAATTTTCTTTATAAGGCTATTTCGATTACCAAAAAGGTTAAATATTTGTCAAAAGAATTTAAGACGAGCACTCCCCACACCAGATTTCCATGTGTTTTAACAAAAAGCATAGAAAGAAAAATAAAGTTCATGTTTAATAGTCTTTGGAGACAAGTTGATCTGATGCCAGAACCCATTCAACTTGAATTGGCCATGAGTAGTATTCTAATGTTGATTTACAACCCAAGTCTCTTTACAATTCAAGGCAACACACAGCCCTAAACTCTGGCATCAAAACAGCAACCAACAAATTAGCATTATCCTTAAAAAACTCAATCAAACATCTGCACCTAAAGCCTGACAGAAAAAGGCATTGCAGTGTACTCCAGGACGGCCTAAAATATAAAGCTGGATTTGCATATTTAAATGGAGTGTGGCCATTTTTGAAAAACATCTGCCACATACCCTTTTACTTTGATATTTAATTTTACATTTTAGTTTGACATGCTTGTTAAACATCAGGAGCCACAAAGTTTGTATCTGTAAAGGCCTTCCATTTTGGATTTTTAAAAAACAATACTCTATTGCAATTCTAATAATTAATTTTAACCTCCTATGTAAATAGGATATCCTTTTTGTTTACTGAGTATCATCTTAACTCTTCATTTTACACATACATAAACTAAGCCTAATGACAGTAACTGCCCTGCCCAAGGCGGACACCCCAGGAATCCTAAGCAGAATTATATACTGTTCCTAAGTAAAATATTCTAAAAGTAATATACTTAATGCCACTGATGTAAAATATTGATTTGTTTCTCTCAAGGTACATTACTCTGATGTCCTGTAGGATATTAACAGGTACTCAGCAAATGAAGATTTTTTTCGTTAAATCAGTTTGTAAGTGTTGGATCAAACACAGACCCTTAAAGCCCTTCCGACATGAATGGGTTTTATGAACTCCAGGAGGAGGAATACAGTAGGCAATTGGTTTTGTAAACTTATTTGACCACAGATGTCATTTCCCCATTAGAATAAAGCAGAAGACGAGCAGGAAATGCTGCCTGAAACTATGTCCTAGAGGATTTTCTTGCTTCCCCAGAATGTTATCATGTCACTTTCATTAGACAAATCTTTCTAAGACTCTACCTGGCTATACAGCCTTTCAGATGTCTCCTTTCCGCCACGAGGGTGAAGCCCACTCTGGCATGGCGTAAAAGGCCCTCAGTCACTTGTACAGACCAGACCTCAGCACTCCTCACCAGGAACTTTATACACTCCCAAGCTGTGCTTTTAAATCCTCTGCTCATCCCTATGTGCCTGAGAGATACCACAAACTCAAACCCTTTAATAATGAGAGGAGGTGGTGAGGAGTTCCTTAAAATGTATTATGCACTCCTGAGTAGTCGCTGGGGGTAGGTTTGCAGAAATATAGCTTGAGAAATGAACCCTCGCCTTTAAATAACCCTTGAAAAATGTAAAACTATTCTGAGTTCACAGACTACACAAAAAGAGCCTGAGGCCTGCATGTGGCCCACTGGCCAATTTGCTGATTCCTGGGTTAGGGAACATGCCAGACTGCCCGCAGTGTGCTCTGCCACAGAACGGGGAAGGAAAAGGCAGGCTGCTCTGTGCCTGGAGACGGTGGAAGCAGAATACGACAGCGTGAGGGGCAGCTGCCAGGCGCCTTGGCCGAGGTACTGCAGCGAAACAAGCAGGCAAGACAACGCCTGCTCATGCCCCTCTCCCAACGTGAGACCAGACAGCTGAGCCAGGATAGCTGCTTTTAGGTGCGAGCAGTGCTTGAGAGAGAAACAAAGGGCATGATTTCCAGTTGCTAATGGCATGCAGGAGAAGTAGGAAGCATGCAACTCAGAAAACCAGCTACCAAGATATCCCACTCAGCATCATCCCAGGCCAATTCCACATTCTTGGAAACCAGTTTCAAGCACAAGCTGCAGTAACTGCATCTTCCCCTCGTGTGCAAGAGCTGAGTCACAGAGAACGCAGCCCAGCCGCCAGGGAGTCTACCGTAAAACTGCGCTCACAATCAGCAACACAGCCGGATATTTGAGGAAGGCAAGTGAAACAGGTGATGGACAGAAGACTCTGCACCCCAAAACTGAGCATCCATAGAGGACATGGAAGAGCACTTTTAAAAAATAATTCCCATCCTCGGAAAGATAAGAGGAGGAAGCACATCCATGAAGAAACAAGGAGCACTGTGGAGCAAGGAAATATTTACAGTGTGCTGCCCTAAGAAGCAATGATTAAGAAAAATGTTATGTGCTAACCATCTGAGAAATTCAAGGAAAGGTAGCAAAGAAAAATCGCACTGGAATCTGAGGAAAGTAGAAATAGGATAAGGTTCTTAACTTACTGGAGAAGATTTATAAACTGATGTTTTTTTCTACCTGCTTCTAGAATTAGTATGTTAACATTAGTATGTTAGTGTGCTAGAACTTCCAACTGATCATTAGAACAAACCATTAGAGGGAAAAGGTAAAGGGCATGGATATACAGACGTAGCAAAAGGTCTGGGAGGGCCACCGCTCAGTACCAATGAACTAACTGCTTCCGGTGCTCTCGTCTGCTCCTGCAGGTCCGAGGGCGCTGCCCGCTTTTTCCTCCAGCGTGAGTACTGCCTTTGTCGGAAGCTTTCCAAAAACCTCACCTCTCTCCTTGCTTCCAGCCCTCATCCCACTGTGTGAGACAGATCAGCACAGTACCTGTAACACTTTATTAAACTGTGGTTTACAAAACCAAGTTCCTTGAGGGCTGGGACAGCCTCCTCATTTCTGAGTTCTTTACCACACTGTAGTTACTCAATATTGATTGACTGGCTGAACATACAAGCAACTTTTACACATTTAACACTATTAGAGAATAAGAAGAGATTGTATGTGAGCAAGGCTATTAATGATTAAATGAGGTAAATTATTTGTTGCAAAAGGCAAAGGAGCATGTCTAAATTACTATTGCATTTCTGAAAAAGTCACCCTTGCATCTTTTTTTTTTTTTTTTTTTTTTTGCTAAGTTTAGAAATCAATTGAAGATGCAGGAGGATGGACTAGATAGTCAATGTTAAAGTCTTTTTCACCTCTAAGGCCCTAAGTTTAGAGAGTAATTTTAAAAGACACTGGGATTGATTGTCTCTGAAATCACATTCCACCTGCAGAAGCTCTATGTCTTCACGGTTTTCAGCTCCAGGAATATTCTCCATCAATATGGTGGACATCACTTTCACATTCATCTTCACCATATCCAACTCGCTGAGCAATTTTCCAATCTGTAGAGAGCAGCACAGTCGCCAGTCAGCAAGTAAAGTGACACATAAAGAATGGCTACATTGTTTCCTTGTCTTAGGGGACATTTACTAGAAGAGAGAATGTATTCGTAAAATTTAGTATTTTCAAATTTATATTTTAATTAATAAAAAATATACATTTTACAAATGTGTAATCCATCACCTAAAAGGACTTAAAGATCTCTTGTAATAAATCCAAAAATATGCTCTAGGGACATTAAAAATAAAGGTAGGAAAATCAGATTAGGTACAATATGGGGACAGGGGAAGGTGGCTATACCAGGGACTGGACAAAATAGAAAAATGTTAATTTGGGTTTCTTGGCAATTGATGGGGGGAAAAAATAAATAAGTAAAGGCGTTATAGTTCTCATAATATTAGGGAAGGGATAAAAAAGAGAAACACATTTTTTTCTTCCTGGATTAAATTTTAAGAGAAATTAACTGCATGGATTTTTATATAATGCGGAATATTACTACAAAGTCTTTCAATGATGATTCCCTTAAAGGAGGACAGAAAAGACCTTCATACAAGGTGGGGCAAAAGTAAGTTTACAGTTGTAAGTGAATGAAATACAGAGTTTATTGCACTGTTATTTATTAATTATTGGATTATTTTCCACAGAAAGAACCGTTAGCTTTCTTTTGCCCCACCCTGTATAATAATTGCTCATCTGGACCTCTGCTAAATGGATATAGACAACCATGTAAAAGTAGTTCAGTTAGTACAATGAATACTAGCAGTAAGTCTGCTACTTACTGAGGTTTCTGAAACAGCGTTTGGACAGCCCTTTCAAAAACCATAGAAATCAGCCAGTTGACACAAGATCCATTTGCCAGCCCAACCTCCACAAAGACACAAAAGCCACTAGCCAAGCAGAACTGTTAAGAGCTTGGGCTTTAGGGTCAGACAGAATCCATGGGATTAAGTTCACTCAGAAGTGAACCATTGGAAGTCCCACAGTGTCAGCAAGCTCCAAGCCCCACCTCTGCACAATGAGGATGACGGTGCACCCCCACCTCATCACACGGTTAAAAAGAATCCACTGTACGCAAACCGCTTAGAACTTAGAAAAAGGCATCAATAAATTCAGCTGTTGCTATTGTTACCTGTTCTGGGACCATCGTAATAGTCATGTTCTTGGGAACAATTACAGAAGAAAGAGCTGGTGCACTAGGAACACATGTTGGTGGATTTGATGAGACCTGAGTCATCTATCAATATGAAATATGGAAATATTATTTAACATTTATTAACATAAACACCCCAAGCCTCGTATTTTCCATTCAGATGACTCGATCACTTTCTCCCAACCAAAGTCCAGGGCAGAGGGTGTCAGCTCAGAGTACACCATCAAATGTCCAAACTGACCAGCAGTTTGAGAACAGTATACTAAGAAAATGGTATGCCCATCATAGAGTATTTCGTCAATAAAAGGTGGCTATTATGATTATTGATTGATTTAAAATTTAATAAAATGCTCTTAGTTTTTTTTTGTTTTTTGTTTTTTTTTTTAAACAAAGCTCTACAAGACAAACTGCCATGTGAGCTTCCTGCCACCCTGTTTCTGGGTTGTTAAAAACAAATGGTAGATCAATTTGTGTCAAGTCTTTTTAGGCCGCGGCTGGCAAAGCATCTCCTTTTCCGCCAATGAACACCTCCCTGAACGGATGCTCCATTTCCAACCTTGGGTGGAGAGCCCAAGCACAGGGCTGGAGGCCAGTGTTTCTCAATGTGAAGGTGCAGAGACATCACCCAGAAGTCTTGTAAAAGTGAGATTCTAATTGAGTCCAGGATAGACTAAAGATTCTACCCCAAATCACACTTCAAGTGAATAGCAAGATTCTAGCCTACTCCTGCACTGTGACTTGGAAGAAAGACCAAAAGGGATGTGGCAAGTAGGCTCACAGGCAGATAAAAGAGTGGGACGGAAGGCAAATGGCCACATGAGTAGAAGAGCTGGCCCTCAGAATAAAGCCTCCACGTGAGGACTCCTGGTGTTGCTTATTCCACCAAGGCAGGGCTCATCGGTCTACAGAAGGAAAGAACTACTGTTTTTGCATTTTGGAAATTACAGAAAGTTAGGAGGTGAATTATAAATAGCCACTCAAAGTGCCATAGCTCAAAACCTTGAAACCTATTCACAGATGTGAGAATAACATGTGAATATCTAGAAACCCTCTTACATAGTATTAATAATAAACAAATATATTACATGACTACCTACAGTAAACACCCTTATCTAGCACCAACCCTTTCTTTTGAAAGCTTCCCTGTCCTCTACTATAGCCAAATGATTTCTATCTGGAGCATGATGTCATGTCCTTACATGACTTCTGTTGATTTGTGTAGAAATAGAAAAAGGACCCAGGTTTCCTTCTCCCAAGTTTTTTGACTTAGACTCTGAAAAAGCTAAAGCTGCCACATGAAAATTTGGGAGCTGTGTTATCCACTCTGTGGAAGAAGCTGGTCTGCCAGGAAAGAGAAGAATGAAGCTGATGATCATATAGAAGTAGATGAGTAACGAGGCATTTGAGCGCTTGGTTCATGGTTGTTCAAAAGATCCAGCTAACCCCAAAGTTCTCATGGCTTAGTTATTCTATGAGATACTGCAATCTCCTTCTAATAAATTCATCTTTTTGCTTATGTTGAATAGAGCAAGGGTTTTCCCTTTCAATGAGGAAAAAAATCCATGTAATACACTAACTTGACATGAGTCAAAGAAGAGACCTCCTACCTCTCGTTCTGTTGTTTCAGCCTCTGAGTCTGAGGGAGGAAAGTGAACCCCTTTCTTAAGCAGGTCGAGGTACACTTCTTTCACTTCACTTACATCCACACCTCCGGGGAAACCCTGTGACCACGTCTGAAAACAACAGCAAAACCAAAACAATTCTTAAGCTGGTAACAGAAAATGAGAGACTGACGATTATGGACCTTACTCAGAAAGGGAAAGCTACCTCTGAATGCCAAGGACAAACCGTACATTTTCAGAGATCGACTCCCATGTCTCAACATTTTAATGAAAACCTGGAATAGGTACTATTGATTGTTTTTTGTTGTACTAAATCCAGAATTAATAGACATGTTCGAAAACAGCATCAGTAGCTCTTTTGTAAAATAACTTTAAAAGTAGTCAGTTACCTATTTCAGACACAATTTTCACATCAAAATGAATGCACACATCACTCTCTCTCCTACCTGACATTGATGAAATAGAAATGGAAATAAAGTAGGAAAATGACTACAAATTCTTTAGGGAAAAAAGTCACCATCCAATGACAAAAAAATATTATTACACAGAATATAAAAGAGTAAAGTGCTTTCTGGCTCAATCTTACGTTTGTAAAAGATCACTAAACCAATTGGTACGTAATTAAATCTCTAATTGTAGAAAGCATCCAAGAAACTTACCTTAATAAAATTCAAAATTCTATTCTGAATGTTTAATGGCAAGTTGTATTTGGGATTCAGCAGCTTAACTAGACTATCTTTAATGAATTCCTTCTTCACAATCAGAGATTGGAAACTTGGACCACAGTTCTGCATGCACATGTCAATAAGCTAAATTAGAGAGAAAAAAAGAAACACTAAATTTCTTTGGGAAAAATCACTTCATAAATATAAGGTAAAAATTGCTAAGTAGCAATTTCTACCTGCACTCTAATGAACAAACAGAATTTGGTGTCTACTAAAACACATGGCAACATGTGAGGTTCTGGGAACGTGAGGAAGTATAAGGAATAATGTAACTGCTTGCGGCCGCGATTTTCACCCTTGTTCATCTCATGGCACACATATGCTAATTACTAAAATTCTGCAGCACACCAAGAAATATATTTTTTGCCAACCTGACAAAAAATAGATAGAATTTTGTTTGAGATACTACTACTACTACAAACTACTACTACTACTACTACTACTACTACTACTTACCTACCCTTTTTGCTCCTAAGTACCTTTTAAAAAAATCTCGTCCCTATACTTGTAAATAAGGATTTCTGGTACCAAAAATTAACCAATCAGACACAACCTCTTATGTGACGTGATCGATGAGATGCAGCTCCATCAAATGACCTATGTATTTATGGTTCAAGACAGGGTATTCATACTGGATGGCTACTGTTGCGTTGGCTGCCATCATTTTTTTTATTTGACAACCTAAGGGAAAAGAGGTCCGTGCCCCTGACTAGTGAGGTATTGCATGTTTTAAAAATCCTTGCTGCACATCAGTGGAAATCACTGGCTTAGATGACAGATTTTTACAAGAGCATTAATAATAATTCAAGGAACCAAATGGGAAGTAGAAACAAAATACATTGGCTTTAGAAAGGGTGATATTTGTCCCAATTTCCAGAGAAGTCCTGGTCGATTCCTGTTGACCTGGCTTTATTAATGATGATACTCTCTTTCCCTGTCAAAAGTGTCCTGTTCTGCCCCAATAAATTCAATAAAAAAATATTAAAGTAAACAAACAAACAAGTGTGCTAGTCTGGATGATAAATTACATAGTTACCCTCAGTTATAGACCTGTATGGACATATGTGATAATTTAGGGCCAGGTACTTAAGACTTTTGGAAAAGGCTGGTTCTAAACTGGGCTCTGAAAAATAGTTTAAAAATGAGTGTACAGCTATATTCTAAACATGTGAATAATGTTTACCCACACATACACAGGTGACAAGACATATGGATTGTGAAGAGGAAAATTAGTAGTTCAGTCTGTAGAGGCTTCTTTGTGAGGCAAGTTGGGGACCCTGAGGAGGTAGGGTAGATATCGAGCCTGGAGGAGACTCATCCAGACCAGAGAGAAATTTGTGTGGCAGTGAAGGGTTCTTGTTACTATGCCACCTTCACATCGCCATCCTGAACTTGAAAGGTTAATGGGCCAAAGTAATACTCAAGAAAGGTTTCAGGCCGCACTCTACAAAGCGAACTGGAAGGTAGAAGAACCTGGAATGATGGAGAAATCCAGCAGGGACTCATCAGCACAGGACTGACGCAGAAAGGCCTAAACCAGGATGATGTGGGTGCAAAGCAAGGAAAGACATGACAATTATGAAGGAAGACCTTTCAACAACTGAAATGTTCCTCGCTGTCATTCTGTGTGAGATTGATGGCACCCTGGATGGACACTGGGAAGTGGACGGGATGATATGACTGGTCTAGGGTAAAAATGATCTGTTTTGAGTTTAAAAGTACTAGGGACTGAATGTTTATGTCCCTTCCAAACTCAGACGTTGACGTCTCTAATGCCTGATGTCATGGTATTTGGAGCTGGGGCCTTTGGTAGCTAATTAGGTGATGAGGGTGGAGCTCTCATGAATGAAACTAGTGCCCTTATAACATGGACTGAGAGAGACGATCTGGCTCTAGGCCATGAGAGGATAGACTGAGGTAGCCACCCCCAAGCCAGAGAGTGGGTGCTCGACCAACACCGGATGTGCCGGCACCTTGATTTTGGATTTCATAGCTGTTGTTTAAGCCACCCAGTCTATGATACATTTATTATAGCAGCTCAAGATGATGAAGACATAAGGAATGGTAGGATATTCAAGTAGAGATGCCGGCTTGAGAGCTGGACATGCACTGCTGGAGTCTGGGAAGAGTGTTCAGCTAAAAATCAAAACTGCCTACGCTGAGCAGAGGGGGGAATGTCGGCAACCATGGGGTTCACCTGTTAGACTCATTTTATAAGGGCACCAATCTCATTCAAGAGAGTTCTACCCCCATCACCTCCAAAGGAAACTCAATAAAGGCAATGGAAGGGCAACCCACAGAAATGGAAGCATAAAACAAAGAGAATATAAATTCAGGAAAGTCAAAGGAGGGTAGTCTCCAGGAGGGTGGTGTGTCAAACAGTTAAGAATACGGACTGAGAAAAAGGCAGCTAGGTTTGTTGATTAGTGAGGCCCTTAGTTGCCTTGAGGGAAAAAAACCTAATATTTAATAAAGAAATATGAGAAGTCAGGCTAAGAAAGAAAGGGTTGGTATTGAAGAACTGCATGCAGAAAGCAAATTTCTAAAAGTGACCTAAAACCAAAATTAACTCTCTAGTTTCCATGATACTATCTTTTAAGTTAGAGCGGTCACAGAAACCGTTACGTGACCAGGATAGGCATAACCATCTCTGCAGGAAAAAAGCCCTGAAAATTGACTTTACACTATGCTCTGTATACTGTCACTTTAACAGCAGTACACAATGAAGAAGGCAGGAAAGCTGTAGATTTTTTTATCCTTACCCGAGGATATGTTCATTAATTTTGGCAAGAGAGGATGAGAGAGAGAGAGAGAGCGAGAGAGAGCAGACAGACAGACAGACAGACAGACAGACATAGACTGGATGCCTCCTACAGGCACCCCAACTGGGGAATCAAACCCACAAACTTGATGTACAGGATGACGCTCCAACCGACTGAACAACCCGGCCAGGGCTGAAAGCTGTAGTTTTAAGGGCAACATAGCTAAGAAAGCAATCAGAAGGTACGGAAGCTGAGCACACGCGGCTATGCGAAACACAGGGAAAACATGTAAGGCAAAGGAAAATAAAAAAAAATCCAAAACATATTTAGATGACGCTATCTTAATGCAAATTACGTAGGGAAAAAAGTGGAAAAGCTGAATAAGAAATGACTCTCTGCTTGATACACTATGAGTTTTCTTAGGTGAAACGCTGAGAGGAATGCCGCCGGTTCAACTAGAATCTATAGAACTACTTCATCCTCCAAGTCTCACTTTCCCTAATGGTTAAATGAATGGAGAATTTCTTGCTAAACAGTCGGCAAACCAATTTTTAGCTTTGGAGCACCAAGATTTTATTGTAACAGGTAACACTCCCAGGAGGTTACCTGTAGAAAAATCAAAGAGTCACTGGAAAACACTGGGAACGTTATCACCTGGAGGACACAAATTATGCCCTTTGTGTTTGCTGACTGGAATGTAGAATTTCAGGACTGATTACTTCTGCATCACCTCTCACGATGTCACGAGCACCTTCTTCACATGCACCCAGCCCACTTAAACAAGAAAACCTAGTGTGGCAAATTGGAAATATTAAATATGTTGCTTTTACATATTTTGAAATTGGGCTTTCATACAATTTATGTGTGAAGGTTGTGTTTACATAACCTAGCGTTGGCAATCCTACCACCGAGAAACCCTAATCTGAGGTGGGATAGAGAACCTAGGAGTCAGGGGACCAAGGGAGACCAGAGAGTGCGCCGACCTTTGCACTGGGCTGAACAAATCAAGCTTCAGGGCATCCTTACCCTAAGCTTCAGTGTCCTGACCTACAAACTGAGCGCTTCCCTCTAGAGACCCCTTGTAAGGCTGAAATAAAATATGTGTATGAACAGCCTGACACATAGCAGGACCTCAATAAATTATAACTATTTTTAAAAGTATTTTTATTGAATTTATGAGGGTGACATTGGTTACTAAAATTATATAGGTTCCAGGCATACAATTCTATAATACATCATATGTATATTGTATTGTGTACTCACCACCCAAACTCTAGTCTCCTTCCATCCATTTACCCCGCCTTCTACCCTCTTCTATCTGCCCCCAGCCCCCTTTCCCTCTGGTAATCACCATATTGGCATCTCTGTCTGAGAGGGTTCTTTTTGTTCTGTTTGCTGAATCCCTTCACCTATTTCACCCAGCCCCCTTCCCTCTGCCAGCTGCCAGTTTGTTCTCTGTATCTATAATTCTGTTTCTATTTTGTTTGTTTGTTTAAATGGTAACTATTTTGATCACCTGCTTCCATGGGTAATTTTCTATCAGGAGAGAATGTGCTGATTGCTGATATAAGTATTCTTTTTCGAGAAGCTAGACAAAAAAAAAAAAAAAAAAAAAAAAAAAGAGCTACTTGGTTAATTTTAGTTCTCATAATGTTTATACCAAGCACAGCAAACCAGGCTTTGGAGCCAACCAGAGCTGAAGAACCACACGGAGGTATGGTCACCCTAGTGGCTGAGCTCTCCCTACAGCAAGCTCTGAGAGGAATAAACACATTTTACACTAATTCTGAAGCCCCCAGAGCTCACCACCTAGGGGTGGGAATGCTCCACAAAGGCCTATTAATTGATTCCCAGAAACCTGTTCAACTACTTTCCATTTGACAATAAGATCTTGCTGAGACTTATTGATTCATTCAAGAAAAGACTAGCCTAAGAGTTATAAAACCTGGTAACAAAATGCTTTTTAAAAAACAAAACTTCTTGACAAAACTGCTCCACCAAATGACAGTAGAAAATCACAGTCTAGTCCTATCCCGTGGAAGACCCAATCACGGCTTGTAAGACCGTGGAGAACCCAAACGACGGATGATATTAAAAACATTTATAATTGACTCTGACATCCTCTCATCACTTTCCGGTAATAAAATGGAAATGTCATATATGGGGATTCATTTTTAAGAGAGTTTATCAGTAAACATATAATTGCCTTTGACACACATTAGATGGTGCCTTCAGTGACTAATTTTGATCACAGTCAAGTTTGGCTTAACAATATTAAAGTCAATATTAAGAATATTAAACACACCTCTGCAGTGCAGTGATAGTCTGAGGTGAGGTCACTGGGCCACTAAATATACAACTTGGGGAAATCTGAAAGGAGCTATCAAGAGTCAAAGGCTTACTTAAAGGAAATCCACGAAGCAGATAGTGAAATGAACCCTATCTTAACAATGAGGGGCTATTCGGGCTCTTGCCCTGTGACTTTCACCTTTGTTTTGGCACAGGTTTTAGATTCATGTGCTCCCAGGTACTGGTGTGGAAATCATGAGGCGGAGGAAGTACAGTTACCTGAGGTGGAACAGGTAGCAGGAACAGATTGCTAGCGGGTAGTAAGGCTTGAAAGATCAGAAGGGAAGGAGGAGTGGGAACCCAAAGCGAAATGAAGGGCCAGAAGGGTCAGAAGAAACAACACTCTGGAATAACCCAGCTTCCTCATCCTCAGAAGGAAGGAACCATGTGGAGAAAGATAAGGCAATAGAGGTAAGAAACAACCAGAGAAACGGTTGAGTAGGCTGGGTACAACAAAGAAGAGAAAACACTTCTTTAAGAAGTTGAAATAATACCACACACTAAAATATAGAAAGTGGCATAAATTCATCTTCTGCCCTTATCTTTCTCACTCAAGTCTCCTAACCTTTGGCAGCCTTGAGATATTCTGGATCCACTCCATTCCAAAGCTGTATGTTTCTACCTAAATTCTGCAGTACCTTCCGTTAGCCCTGAGTGTGCTTGAATACCAGGGGCAGTGGGGCACTGAATCATTAATTCAACATCTGATGCATTGATATATGGGTTCTGCACCAAGCAGGAAGGGCTTCAAGACACGAAGGGAACAACATAGTCATGGGGATGTAAAGCACAGTAAATACAGTCAATAATATTGTAACAACTGTGGTTGGACCCAGTTGGGTACTAAAAATATTGAGGAGAACACTATGTAAAGTATGTGATTGTCTGATAACCAATCTGTACACCTGAAACCAATACAAAATATTGAGAAATAAAGTAACAAAAGTTCTGAGAACATGAAAAAACGAAAAAAACCCCCAAACCACAGGAGCCCATTCTTTTGAGGGGCATGATTTGTTCTAAGACACAAATGGTATGGGGCAAGGGCATGGAATGTAGAATCTGAGGACGATGCCACTTAAATCTGGCATGGAAAAGTATCACGTGATCTCACTAGTCTCAGTTTCTCCATCTGTGAAATGGAGTTAATAACACAACTATTTCACAGGGTTGTCAGCATCAATCAGGTGTCGGGCAAAGGTTTACATCCACCCGCGACCCATGGCACAGACGCAACTGCTGACGTGCCCGGCTCCTCTCCAGAGCTCCCTCCACTCTGGGACCGCCCTGAGGTGGCCGCTATGGGCAAAGGACAAGGGAGAAGCCGAAAGGTGGTGAAAGAAGAAACTGCCTCTAAAACTACATTCAGCTCCCAAATTGAAGAGTTTCTTCAGTGATAGCCTCACTTTTAAAAAATATTTTGTCATTTCAACTGTTACTGTTGTCCCCGTTTTTCCCCTTTGCCCTCCTCCACCCAGCTCACCCCCCAACTCCCAACGGCCCGTCCCCACACCGTCGTCCATGTCCGTGGGTTATGCATCTATCTTGTGTGATGAACCCCTTCACCGTCTTTCAACCACTCTCCACTGCCCCCCTCCCCTCTGACAACTGTCAGCCTGTTCCATGTTCTATGCCTCTGATTCTATTTTGGTCATAAGATTCTACTTATAAATGAGATCATATGGTGGTTGTCTAGTGAAAACAACATTAAGACTGTGTCTCCTTCAGCAACTCTCCAAGTAACGAAGAACCAGGAAACGGGAGCGGTGTTCACCTCTGCCCCATGGCCCTCTTTATCGACACTCCCAAAGCCCCTAAGAGGAGCGTGATGCGGGCTGATTAGTGCCAGAACCAAGAGCGGCCTGGGGTTGGGCTGAGGCCCAAAGACATGCAGGAAGCCACACAGCTCACTCTCAGGCAGCAGGCAAGGCTTGCAAAACATATTGAAGTAAAAAGGGCAACTCACCAAAGTGACTGCAGAGGTCATATGGCCAAGGGTTGGGGGGGGAATGATTAACAGGTTAAGCGTCCATGCCCGATTCACAGGAAATACAGCGCACAGGAGAACTACTTAAATCAACAAAGGACCTTCTCCCAATTACAACAAGCAGCAGAACATGGCTAAAACTTAATGAGCTGCTTGTACCTCAGGATTCCACAAAGGTGTTCAAGTGCAATACAAAGCTAATGGGGAAGCATTTTTAAGACTTGTCTCCCCTCCCACCCTCCTTGGAACATACACATGCACTTTTTGATCAGCTCAGTACCTAGAAGTTTAACCACCAGTTCCCATTTCCTGACCAGGAAAGCCTGATTTTCCAGGAACACTCTTTCCACAGAATTAAATGCTATTATAATCAACGAAATTCTCTTGATTCTGTAATTCTCAATAAACAGTTTTAATTCCTATGGTAAATAACCTTCTGCTAACCTATTAATTATCTCAGAATATTTACCCAGAACTAAAATGTGACTATAGCTTGGGAAATCCTAGAGTCTTAATTATAACATGAAAGTACTTACTGATAAGGTAAGTTCAATTTCTTTATGATTGTAGTTTTTGGAAATCCTTTTCTTCAAAGCTTTTACTGCATCTTTTGGCCTACAGCAGTAAATACAACATAATCATCAATTTAGGCAGAGCTGAAAATGAAGAGTCTCTGAAAAGCAACGTGCATTGTGAAAGGAAGGGTGGCTGAGGAGAAGCCCAAGGCCTTGGCTCTGCTGTGTGACCCTGGACAACGCCTCTCCCACCTGTGTCCTCAGACATCTAGGCAGTCAATACCACCTACCCCCTGGTGACAATCAAATGAAATATTTAGTATAGCCCTGTTTACAATAAAAACTAGGAGTTTATATCCAACACTGTGAGATTGAACAGATAATTTGCCATAAACCCTACTAAGAAATACTCTGGCTTTTCAAAATGCCTTATTAAATGGAATAATAAATAAGACATGGAAAAAAGGTTCATCACCTTTTAACAGCGAAACAAGTGAGTTATGAATCAACAGTCTAAAATGTTAACTATAGTTTTTGTTGGGTGATGGAGTCATTTGTGGTTCTTAATACATGTTTATCTGCATTTCATAAATTTTCTCTGAGATTCATGCATCACTCACATAAATGTATTTTTGAAAAACGTTTATTTAAAATTAAATTTTAACTAGTCACACAAATCTACATAAGAATATGACTTAGAATACTTGTGAAATGTATTCATACACATCTGCCTCAATCAATGTGCAGAACCAATACACAGAAAATGCAATTTCCCAAAACAATGAAAGCTACCCATTTTGATCAAGACTATTAGTATTTCCTGAGCGTCCTATAGGCAATACGATTAACTAGGTCAACTTCTGATATGCTACAATTTTATGTTATAAAAGGAGGAATTATGTAGTGTTAAGTAGAGGGTCCAAGTTTTCTTTGAGATGGTCAAAAAAGTAAAAACTTCCAATGATAAATAAGTCATGGGGATGTATTCTACAACATGGTGACTATAATGATAGCTAGCACTGCTGTATGGCATATTTGAAAGTTGCTGAGAGTAGACTGCGAAAGTTCTCATCACAAGGAAAAAAATTTTATATCTACATGAGGTGAGGGATGTCAACTAAACTTCTTGTGGTAATAATCATTTTGCAATATATGTATGTCAAGTCATTATGCTGTACACTTTAAACTTATACAGTGTTATATGTCACTTATATCTTAATAAAACTGAAAAAAACACAAACCCTTTTTATATATTACCTTATGTTTGCATGGTTAGATTTCTATTATATGATAATAATTATATAATATTACATACGCTTACATGGAATTGCCACTATTATAAAATACAGTATTATGTAGATATTTTCTATATTTCTAAAAAAAAAATCCTATTTAAAATCTAGAATTAAAGTCTTGAAAAGTTTAAAAGAATATACTGTTTTAAAAGGAAAAAAATTGACTTTAAGATTCATTTTTTGTATTATGAAGAAATTAGTATTATCATGACAAAAAGATTCACAGAAGAACCAAATATAGTAAACAAGACTACAAAGAAAATACCATAAACACTTTAAAGTACAAACCTTAAGTGCTTTCCATTGATACAGTCAATAATTAAGTGGAATGTTTTCTTCATCAACATAAACTATACTAAATCTCTTTTGCTGTCACTTATCACTTTAATATACGCAGTAAAAATAACAGAACTGTATTCCTCATAACAATCTGTAATTCAGACTAAATTCACCAGTTGGTCTTCTTAACAATTTTTTTAAAGAAACTTCAATTCTCTGCCATTTAAAAGCATAACAAAAGATAGCATGGCGTTTAAGAAGATAGCATGAACATGGGCAAGTTGGCCTTCAGAGGAAAAATACTGTCTTGTGACAGGGAGAAAGAAAAGATTGCAAGATTATTTCCTGGTTACAATGACAACTGCCCAGAGATGGTGACCTCAGGAGTCCACTAGCTTCTTGGTAATATTTTTTAGTTGGGATAACATAAAATACCAGCAATCAGAACAGAAGTTCCTACAGAAAACAATCTCCCTTAATTTTTTTTCTTTCTTAAAAAACAAGGAATTTGAGCCAAAATGTGAAACTATTAAGGAAAGGGCAAAGAGGAGAACAGTTATAGTGGATTCTCAGACACAGAATATGTTGAAACAAGCATTTCTCCTAATACTTCAACCTGACATGTCTTCAAAACGCAGTGGGTACCTAAGTGGGGATGAAAACACTCTTTCAACAAGAAAACCAACCCTAGCTGGTTTGGCTTAATGGATCGAGCCCTGGCCTGTGAACCAAAGGCTCGCTGGTTCGATGCCCAGTCAGGGCACATGCCTGGGTTGCAGGCCAGGTCCCCAGTAGGGGGAGCACAAGAGGAACACATTCCTGTTTCTCTCCCTCTCTCTTTCTCCTTCTCTTCCCCTCTCTCTAAAAGTTAATACATCTTTTCTTTTTTTTTTTTTTTTAAGAAAATGGTTTGGAAGAGAAAATGCACTATAATTCTGCACTTCTTATCAGAGGCAAATGCAATAAGCACACTCTGTACTCACCCATCGTTGGCCGTATTAATTATGTCACAAATGTGCATGAACTGGCCCCAATCTTCAGTCTGAACTCCAGCAAATGTGGCCTTTTCTGCAAAGAAAAAGCTGTTGTGTTGACTCTGAGCTACAACAGAATGAAAAATGTCTGGTCTTCCTGAAATAACCTGCCTGGGGTTTGCTAGCAAGTACCATTAAGTTTATATTACCGAAGGGCAAAGAGATTTTTTTTCTGAGCAATTCCCAGTAATTCAGGAATCAATCAGAACCCAAGTTCAGAGTGCTGTTGTAGCAACGGTAATGAGTGACCTATTAATAAAGACTGCAGGCACAACACCTGGCTGCAAGGCTAGGCCAGGACGGCTAAATCTCCATCTGCCTGCCTGTTTTTTAGAGGACAGGCACTGACTGAGCAGCTACCTACAAAGTGAAGTGTGTAATGCTCAGTATTTTAGCTTATGTAATTTCATAAAACCCACTGTTCGGGATGATGAAACAGAAGTTTAGAGAAGTTAAGGAAATTATGCAAGCCTACACAGCCAGTGCAACATATAACTAACAAATCAAAGTTGTTTGATGCCACTTTGTTTCTTAAAATCATTGATTCTCCTGGGGGAGGTGTGAAGAAAAAGAGATCAGAACTACTAAAATCGGCTGTGTCCTTTAGCAGTCGAGCAAAGTCACTCCTATAGGTACAACCTGTACTAACCCAGGTTGTACCAGGCCAGTTTAAACATTCAGATATTTTCCCCCCTCCAGACATCCTCCTTAAGAATAGAAATGCTGTCTGGGAAGGGTACAGGAACACTCCACCTGAATGAACTTAACATCTTTTCTACAAGAAAGGAGAAGATCCCGCATCATGAAAATACCAAGTCCTAGGGGGAATGAAGAAAAAAGTTAAAATGGAAAGAATACAAGTTTGGTTGGGGAAAATGCTTCCCATCTAGAAAAAGAGCTCTTTGAATTTGGCGCTCATTGGACAAACCTGACCAATCTTATGTTGCTTAGGCACATACTGTCATCATTCCTTCTGCCAGATTCCTTGCTCTCCATTCTATGTTCTTTCTCCCATCTTACTAGAAAACTCCTATTCACCCTTCAAAAGCCATGGCTTAATTTCTCCCTTATCATGTTTTGGGTGGTTGTACACTTTTCTTGTATTGTAAAGGTTCCATATTATAGTCACTACAAAACTATACCCATCTTCCCTCCAAAACTGTGCATTCCCTGAGGGCTGAGACCGGATCTTACCTTTGCTTCATTCAAGTCCAAGCAGTCAGTAATTATTGGCAGCATTAAAGAATGAATCAGCCTATGAAGATGCAATGTGAATCCATTTCTGCTGAGTTTACTGACTATCTAACAGGGATACAGCCAGCAACCGCTTAGAAATCATTCCTCCTCAATGACAGTTACTCGCATCATTTTATTTTATAATGATGTGGGAACTAAAGTTCAGGTTAAGTGGTGTGTTCCATGTTACCTGGCACCTAACTGAGCCGCCTGCCCCCACTAAGCTCCTGACATTATCGCCTTTGGCTCGGCATCACATGCACTGATGCCGCACCTGGTTCCCAAAGGCCGCAGCAAGGAGGAGGAGAACGGAGCCATCGGCTCCTGCGGACAGTTTTCAGATACAGCCACAGGAGAAATGACACCTGCACGGTCCCTGATGTCTTGAGAGGCCTCTGGCGACTCCAGACGGCTTCACTCCTCCCCACTTCCTGCACTCTAGGCAGCAGCATTTTCGAGCTCCTTGTTTACACAGAGAAGTAACTCAGGTTGTAGGGGCTTGGTGCCAGGGAGAACTAGTTGAAGGGACCTGCGTCTCATCGTGAGGTGACATCACTTCGCCTCCCTGACCCATGTCCTCCTCTGTAAACCGGTCATAGCAGTGCTGTGCCTTCGAACGAACATACTTTAGGACTAACCGTGGCAGAGAGGTTTAAGCCGTCTCCTTGGAGAGGCCCAAACACTGCACACCTGAATCCCACACGTGGCTCACCTGTTAGATTTTGCTTCCCAGGAGGCATAAACAAGGAGGCAGATTTCTGAGGATGGGGTTCTAGAAAGAGTCAGCCGTAAAGAAATGCTTCAAAGGCGCCGGGTGGAATGCGGGCGCCCTGGGAAAGTTGCAGGGGGAGGGGAAGTATTTTCTCAAACTTGGACCAACTCTGTCCTCCACAGGCCTAGAAGGAGTCAAACGGGAAGGGTCCCCCCAGTCCCTAAAGCCTGCCCGGGCGTCTTCCCCGCGCGCTTCTTTACCTATAAGGTGGCCCACGGAGGTCGCATAGGGATCCCGGTGACTCTTTGCAAACGCCATGGTAGCCGGAGAGAGCCGGGCCCAGGAAAAACGCCTCCGCGGCTCTCCGGCTCTCCGGCTCTCGTCTCCACCCGCACGGTGTCCCTAGCTCCTCCTCTCCGCCCGAACGCTTCCCAGACTTGGGGAGGAGGCTGGGCAATCTGCCCGGCCGCTGCGGGGCGCCCAGCTGCCGGAGAGGGAGCGGAGGCGGGGACTCTAGGGCGGGGCTCCCGGGTGGCCGCGCACCTGCCGCGCGCCCCGCGGGACTTGCGGGGAGGCGCTGCCCGCTCGAGGTGGGACCAATGGGAGGTGTCCCCGGCGTGCGAGAAGGGACACCGGGCGCCCGCTCCCGACCCAGGTTGGCTTCTCGCGCCGGCGGAACCGGGGGGCGCCCGGCACCACAGCCTGCGAATTACAGAGCCCACCTCTAATCCCGCCGCCTACTGGGCAAATTGCTGCTTTTTCTCTGTCCCTCTTGCTCCCCTATGTAGCTAAAGAAATATGGGGTTAATTACACAAATCTCAAGAATATTATTAGAATTAGGGACATGAAACGCGTAGGTCAGTTAGTGGCACCCACAAAATACATATTTAACCACTGAATGAATTGAGTAAACTACAAATATTTACTCCCACCTTCGCCCCAGAGATCCCAGATAGGAGGTGTGTCTCTTGCCCTTTAAAGCTGCAGGTGATGGATTGGCCTTGAATTTAGGGGCCTTCCAGGAGCCGGCGTCCTATGTCTTGCTCTTGTTTCCCGAGGGACCACGGGGCACCGCCCAGCAAGCTCTCCGTTCTTACCCTCTCCCTCCTGGGAGCAGTGTTTTCCAGTGGCTGAAAAGAGGAAAGGGCTTTCCCAGGGCTCTGGCGTGGAGTGTTTGGCCTCAGAACTACTCTGGAATGTAAATCCTAGCTTAAGCAGCCCAACCCCTTTCCAGCTGCCCTTTCAGAAGCAGAATTTATTTCCTTTTTCCGTGCATAACAACTGATTACCGGTGTTGATCTCTAGCGATGCCAGAGCCTGCTAGGGAGTGGGGTGTCTCCAGGTGATGGCAATTAGCCATAGGATGAGATCCCCTTGCCTCTAAACCTTGCTTTCTGCTGTCACTTGGGCCAAAATTCCACAAGCCCTTCTTTGGCCCTGGAGATGGTGACAAAAGAGATCAAAGTGGGCTTTTTCCAATTTATGCTCTCAGTCATATATTTTAAAACAGAAGTCAAAGCCAATTGCAGTATGCACCAAGGGGCTTTCCCCCTGCCCCCTAATACTGGGAATTCTAAAATATAGAATAAAACATGTTTGTTGTGATAGTATTTCTCATAATAGGATCGGCCCTATCTCTAACTAATATTCTCTCCACCCCCTATCCAGGGTGAGGAGCTTCTTTCAGATGGTGTCATATTACAGTTTAGAAAAACCAAAGTATATAATTATTTACCTAGTTACCTGGCTAGTGAAGGACTATCTGATTCCAGAAGCTGTGACTTGCATCTTTGTACTGTGCGCCTCTCACGGTAGAGCCCTAGGTAGCAGGCGGTGCCCTTGAGTAGTTCGCATTTTTAAGTAAGTGGATTCTGGTGCGTGTGTGGAGAGTGAGGTGACTGAACATGGCAAGCACATATGTGTGGAAGACAAAGATGACCCATTACCAGGCTTCATGCAGGTAAGAGGCATTTCTAGCCTCACATTTAATTTTGTTCTTACTATTAAATCTCTTAGATGTTCAGATCTGGTTGTGACCTTAGAAATCAAAGTCTCTATCCCCATCCTCTCATAGATGAGGGGGGAAAAAAAAAAGAAAAAAGACAGCCAGAGAAGGAAAGTGGCTCGGCTTCCAGCTCCAGGGTAGAAAAGTGCAGCCCAATAGCTTAACCCCCAGTCCCAAACTCTTCCCACCACAGGCACCTCCTCTCTATTTTAATATTTAAACATGCTCCTCCAAATTTCCCCATAGTATTTTCTCTCGCCTTCTCTTTATCCTTCTCTTTTTTCAATGGCTCCAGCTCCAAACACCGCCCACTCCTCCCCCACAGCTGTCCCGTTATAGAAACTAATTTCCATATTGATGTGATCATCAGCTCTAACAGCCGTTCCTGGCCTCCCCCTCTTTGCCCTTCCGTGGTAGGTGATGCAGCTCCCATTAGCCAGTCTTTCCCCCATCACCTTTCAGTGTATTGTATCCTACATTCCTTTTTCTGACTGCTACTCCTCCTGATCTTCACTTGGCTAAGTTTTCCTCCCTGGCCTAACCCTAAGTAAGCCACTCCACAGTTCCCAAGTCTGTCTTTTCCTCGTTCTCCATTTCCCTCAGGGTGCCTTGTTCTTGTCCCTTTTCTATGAAGCCTTTTCTGACCGCTCCCCAGAGAACTGAGCCCTCCTCCCTTGTCCCACATATAGATCTCCATCTTAGGGCTCACAACACTTTATATTACTTTGTTTAGAAATCTGTTTGCCCACTCCTAGATATAAGCCCCTCCGGGACACATGACCCTATTTGTCAGACTTGGTATCCAGGCACTTAAAAGGCCTTAAGGGATGTTTGTTGAATGCATGAATGACTCTCCAAAAATCTTGAGCGGCTCTATCTTTCCTGAGATCCAGTTCTCAATTCCCTCCTGGATACCTTGTTGGAACCTTGACCTCAATATAATTAGAATTACTATACTCCTCCCCTTTCTCCGTCACCTCAGTATCCTGCCTGACTTCCTTGTTTTGAAGAACAAGATTACTGATGTATTCGAGTCACATGGGCTAATGTAAAAAAAGTCCTGATGCCTGGATTCCACCCTCAAGGATTCTGATTTAAGGAGCCTGGGATGCGTCAAGGGCATCACGATTTTCAAAGGTCCCCTGATGGTCTCCCAAATAAAAAATCTTGACGTTAACCCTAGGTCTTTCCTTTCAGTCAGTTCCCAAATCCTCTGTGATCCTTCTCTCTCTGTCTCCTTGACTTTTTCCTCTAGAGACACTGCTCAATTCAGCTGTTCTCAAATACCATAAGCCTTAATACTGTTAGGGATGAAATTGGACTGAAGCTTGGGTTCTCCCAAACGTAACCACAACTCCGTGCATCTAAAGGCATATTGTTTTTAAAATGGACCCTCTTTTACAGAATATTACCCATTATATTTAAAAACCATTATGTACAGAGATATATGTTGCCTTTATTGCCATTTTTTAAAATACATGAAATCTTGGCAACCCCTGATTCTAGAAATTCGAAGCTCAGCCTTCCTTCTCTTCTTGCTCTCAGATCACCTCTGTCAGTTTCACATGAGAGCGCTTCTCTCCCCACCCCCACCCCAGAGACTGTTGTTTTCCATTTCTATGAGCTTTCGCTAAACTCAGAGACTCAAGATGAGAGAGGACAAGGCACAGGAAGAGAGATGAGAATGAATACTGTAGACCTCCTACTGTGTCAGCCACTATAGAAAGTGCTTTGGTATTTCCAATAAACCTCCTAACACTCTTACAAACTAAGAATCATTTTTCCCCTTTTACTAATTGACTTGCCTAAAGTCACTCAGAATTGGGAGATGAGTTTGGGTTTGTTTGCCTCATTTCAAACTTTAGGCCCTTTTCCAATTTCATTTTGCTGCACCCCACACAGGGATCACGTCGTTGATCTGGGGGAGCACCTGTAGCATCGAGCCCCACTCTTCTCATCCAGCAGTGCCAAATAGAAATTTGATTTGTAGCAGGCCACTGAACCCTGAGTCAGACCTGAAAAGAAGACATGTTCCTGGGTGGAACTGGAAACATGCTAATGAGACAGGTCTGCCAAGTTAAAATATGGGGGAGGGCAAGAACCAGAATTGTCTTATGAAGGGTCTGCCCCCTGTAGTAGAGGCTTCCCCAGCTAGGTGAGTGTTCTAGGAACCCACCTGTATCAGTGTTCCTGCTGGCGTTGTTGTGAGAGGCTGCGTTCGGCTTCAGTGCATTTGTTTTGAAGACTCTTTAGACGCCTTTGCCCATTTCTTAATGGATGATTTATAAGCGCACCTGCCCACACCATGCTGAGTGTTCAGCAGATTTTGACCAAAAATGGCATGACCCCATTGCTCCACCCTCCCTGTTCACCTGATCTTGCCCTGAGCAACTTTTTCTTTTGTTTCCCCAGATTAAAAAAAAAAAAAAAAGCCCTCAAAGAGAAACGTTTTGCCAACGTAGAAGAGGTGAACAAAAAAATGGCAGAAGCACTAAAAGGCATCAAAATCAACAAGTTAAAAACTGTTTTGAGTGGTGGGAAAAAAAAGTCTCAACAGGTATATTGCATCAAATGGAGAGTACTTTGAAGGTGACTGAAGTTTAAGCATGTAAGAATAAATACACTTTTTAATAAATAAATTCCAAATTTTTTGGGGTCTCCCCTCCTACGCGGCTCTCCTGTGCCTGTGCAGCTAGGAGCCCAGCTGCCGTAAGGGACTGAACAAAGAAATCCACTCTACGCCTGCATGAACCAAGTGCCTGCTTGCCACGGGAAACCTGAAGGACAAAGGAATCTGCCCTGCACTTGCGCAAGTCAAGTGCCAGCCCACCAAAGGGGGAGGAGGACAACTGAGACCATAAGATATGGCCAGACCGCAGTAGTAGCGTCGGGAGCCACACAGCTTTCAGTCCAGTATGTGCTCTTCTGGTGCCCCGGGCCTTTTTACTTTGCCTTTAATAAACTCTTCCCTTCCGAATCTGCTTTGCCTCCTCCCTTGATTTCTATCCTGAGGAATGGAGGAGTCAAGAATCTTTGAGCTGGTAGCAGATCGAGTTTAAACATCTGTCCTTCCTCCAATATTGAACTTTAAACCATGCCAATTCTTTCAGTAGCTGTCCTTGTCATCTGTAACTTGAAGGAGCTCCAAAGAGATCTGAGACTAAGGGCATTTGTAGGCTAAATTTGTCATTTCAAGTGATTCTCATGAAGCTTGAAACCAACATTTTATCTGGAAACTTTGGGAACCAATATGTTTATAATCTAAGCCACGTAGCTTTCTGTAGCTTCCATGACCTCACCAGTACACACTTAACTCATTTGAGATTCGTGATTTAATTCCTGTGTGTCCTTTTGGAAATCTGGCTCAGATTTGCATGTCAATACACCTGGGT